TCTCTTCATTACCACGTTCTATACTTTCGGGTAGATCACGTGTCATGGTCTGAAGCCACAAATGGGTCAACATAGCATCTTCACCCGGATGTTGTACTTTTAGCCATGGCCTGAAGCAAGTATCCTCAAACAATTGTCTTTGTACAGGTGAAAGCTTCGACGCAATTGTAGTGACTAGACTTATTTTATTCCTTAAGGTCAATTAAGCCGAAAAAAAGTTCTACAAAAATAATAAACATACCAAGTTAGATATACCAAAAACTACATTGTGAAGATATACCAAAAACAATAATAAACATAAAGCGTAGTAGTTTATTCTTCAAACTTAATTTTGCAACACTGTGAATTTCGTATTTGTCATTGTTTTTTGGTTGAAGTAATGCAATTCATTCAAGTTTCAATTTGCAGAAGAAGAATAGTTTCTGAAACTTAAAATCGCAACACAAAAATGAAAATCGCAACACGAAAATGATTATCGCAACGCGAATTTGACTATCGCAACGCGAAATGACTATCGCAACGAGATAATCGCAACGCGAATTTTGTCGTTGCGATTTTCATTTCGCGTTGCGATTCTCGGTTTCAAACGGTCATTGTCTAAAATTGAAACTTGAATGAATTGCATTACTTCAACCAAAAGACAAAACAAAGACAAATACTAACTTCACAGGGTTAAAGACTAAACAGTAGCAGTATTGGCAACAATCTATTATTGAAATTACCAGTAAACTTATCATTAATTTTAATATGAAAAACCTAATAATAATGCAAAAATTTCAAAATAAAAATAATTAAAAAAACTAACCCTCGGTGGTTGATTTGGTTGATTTTCCATTTCTGATCGTGAATGATTGTGAGGGTGGCTCTGAGAGATGGAGATAGACGGATTTCGCCGGAGATGGGGACTGATTTCGCCGGAAATGGGGACGGATTTCATCGGAGATGGGGACGGATGTCGCCGTAGAGAATGAGAGATGGAGATGGGACTGAGTTGTGATTTAGGGTTTTAGGTTAAGAGTTGCGATTACGGGTAAATATTCGTGTTTAGAATTTGAAAATAAAATAAGCCTTGCGATACTAATGGCGCTTTGAAAATCGTATTGCGATTTTATATTATCGCAACGTGATAGTCAGAATCTCGTTGCGATAGTCAGAATCGCGTTGCGATCACGTATTATCGCGTTGCGATAGTCAGAATCGCGTTGCGATTAACTGTTATCGCGTTGCGATTTATATATTCGCATTGTGATTTACATATTCGCATTGCGATTATCTAAAATCGCAATGCGGATTTCGAAAATCGCAATGCGATGGTCAAAATCGCGTTGCGAATCTGGAAACTGAATTGCGATAATGGAGATCGCATTGCGATTTTGTTGGTCATTTTGGCAAATCGTAAAAAAATTAGTTAAAATAGTATATTATAATGAATTTTCGGCCACTGAGGTTATTTTCTCTTGATAATATACTAATTAATAGCATTTTGAGTCTTTATCAATTTAAATTTAATGGAATTAAACTTTTGCTTCCTAAATTTTTAAAATACATAATAAGTTTTTATTATTTTACAATTAAGTAAAATACTCGTCCCAATATTTAATCTTGGGTAAAGAGAGAGATCATCAAATTGTACAATGAGTATGTTTCATGTACTCCAATTGGTACTTATTTATTTTGTCTTGAGCTGAGGAAATTACTTCTCATTCCAATATAAAAGGTCGGCAAAAGCTATAACATCACGGCGAATCATCCAGAAATAAACATAGAAACACAGAGAAAAAAACAATTTGATGTAAGAATCAAGGCCCCCTTTATTTATTAAGAGGAGTTGATTTAAGTAATAAGTAATGACAATTTAGAAAAATCTTATAAGTCGGGTTAATGTAAAAATAATAAATTTTTATAAAAAGTAATGTATATATATTTTTAATTTAAAAATATAATAACAATTATATATATATATATATATATGAATTAAATATAGAAAAAGTATATTAATTGGACAAATATGATTTTTTTAAATAATCCATATATATTTTTTATTTAGGGTAAACTAATTATTTGGTCACCCGCCGCTTAACATTATATTTTTTAGAATCATAATTAATCTTACGATTTGGTTCTATTTAAATATCTACTGTTAAAAAAAATTAAGAATGATGTTAATATGACATTTTTTAAATTATTTTTCAATCATGACCTGGTATTATCTTATGATGATAAGTTCACATCACCGCTAATCTTTTAAAAAAGAGTGACCAAAACATAACCAAGATATAACATTAAGTATGATTTAAAATAAATAATAATTGAGTGGCTAAAACAGAAACTAAATAATAAATGAGTGACTGAATAAATAATTTACCCTTTTTGGAATATAGGGACCATGACCTAGGTAGGCATAGGCCTAGATACGTCTCTGGTTAAAAGCAATTTGATATCGCTTAAATAATTTCTCGAGTTCGAGTCTTTGTGTATACAAAAAATCTCTACTAAAAGATTCACTCATCAAAACTAGGTGTACGATACGGATTAATCCGAATTAATCCAAACTTTGAAACCGAGAGAAAGAAAAAAAAAAAGGAAGACACCTTTATCTGAAACCTGCCATGATTGCAATTTACTAAAGTTGGCAAATTGCAATCTCCCATATGTAGTAGTGGCCAGTGGATTGAGATTCCAATGACCACACACATGCTTGTTTTTCTTCATCATTGCCATTGCTTACTTACCCTTAATTTTTGAGAAAAGACTTTTTTATTCTTGCTTGAGGGATGTGAATGCTTTTGCTTTCTTCCTTTGATCTTTCATCGTGTCAAGCTTTGAATGTTATGTCCTCAACTCTTTAATTTCTTTATCTACAAGAATGACCCATTTCCCCCCCCTTTTTTTAGGGTACACTCATTTTCACACTTGGAAAATGTTTATATGGTAACTTTGCTTTCTTTCCTCTTTGTTTGTCGTTTTGCTTTATTAGTAATTAGGTTAAACGTGTTTCTTAATCGTTTGTATAATTACAAATTAATATTTATTCAAAAAAATTAGTTTATGATAATACATACATCCTATAAATATAGATGAATATATAATTATTTAAACTCAAATTTTACAAAGAAAATAATATTTCATTTATCATTGAAGTCACTCTCAATAGTTTAAACTAGGTTATATATAGGTGCTTTGCTAATATGTTCATTCCTTCTGTCATGTTGTTTTTGTTATTGAAAGATGGAAACTAAGAGAGATTGATGTCGGAAAGACAAGATGGCCACGGTGCCATGCATGCGTTTCTTTTCAACTAGTGAATTATGGGTTGGGTGATTTACGATGAGTAATGGTGGTTCGGTGCCATGCATGCGTTTCTTTTCAACTACTGAATTATGGTGGGTTGGGTGATTTACGATGAGTAATGGTGGTTCCGCATGTGTCTAGTTGCAGATCTATAAATATTTTTGAAGGTGGGCGTATATAGGCAGCAACATAAAGTTTTGAATAAGTGGGTATAATTAAAATTTTAGAGTGAGCACAAATAATATTTTAAGGTAAACAATTTTAATAAAATAAGGAACTAACTAAATAAAATTCGATTTTCAGTGCCTATCCTCAAATATATGTGGCTCTGCCACTGGATGTGACTCTTGTCTACGTGTGATAAACTCATAACTAGAAAACTTCTCATATTAAATTTGGATCTCACACTTAACGGATGGATTGAAGGGGCGTTGAGAGTGCGGTAGTACCTCTTAAAATTTTTAAATTTTCTTATATTTTAGATTTATTTATTTATTTATTTTTGTTGATTATTTAATTTCGTACCCCAAAATTTTATGATTCTATACTCTAAAACATTTAATATAATTTTAAAATGTGCACTTTTAATATCAATTTTTACGTCCATTTTCATTCACACCCTTTAGAAATTATTATCGGGAAAAAAATCTCCGCAAAGAAAAATTTATTAATTAAAACCTAAATTAAGAGTCTTATTAAAAATACCTCAATACCTATATGAAAAAAAAAAGTACTCTGAAACTGGGAAGAGAAACAGCAACAAAACATTCGATGTTTCAATAACAACAAACACTACACGACTACCAATTCACTCCTTATCCAGAATAAAGACATTCATCAATCTGCAATAGGATACCAGAATCTCCAAAGGGACACCTGCACTTCAGATGAAGATTGCGAAGCTCCAACAAATACCCAAACTACAGATCACACCCAATCTTCATAACACCAAACAGCAACACATGAATTGAGTACACCAAAACAGCCGAAAATCACCACCATCATATACAATCAGCTAACTCGGAAAAGTATAATGTCTCACACCCTTAAAACTGACAGGAGAATACCATGACGGTAATCTTGGGATAAATTAACGAATTCTCGCCCACTAATTTTAAAGTAATCCCCCAAGGTGGCAGCTCCTGCTTCGCCAACTTCGATTTCCTCCTATGAACAGCGTACACATTCTTCTAAAGCAGCTCCTGCTTCGCCAACTTCGATTTCCTCCTATGAACAGCGTACACATTCTTCTAAAGCAGCTCCTGCTTCGCCAACTTCGATTTCCTCCTATGAACAGCGTACACATTCTTGCTCGGTTTACTTGATTTTGAATGATATTGCACAACTAAATCATACGAGTGATTAAAATTTACCGATTGTAATTACTTTGTTACCAACTCATGCACTAACACACTCCTACCAAACATATTGTAAAAAGTAATATATATATATATTAAGATTTTTTTTATAAAGAGATTATCTCACAGTTAGGAGAATGAGCAGTTTAGATGGCATTATAGTGAAGACTGGTAATTTTAACTGAGCTATTTCAAGTATGGTATTCACAATATTAACCTCATTTGCTTCGAATTCGGATTCTTATTTCGCCCACCATTGGCAACATACGGCACGAATTATCGAAGAATCTATCCATTCTTTGCCACAATATTTTCATTGCACAACTAAAGGACAGTAATGTATAAACTTAATTTGGATATATACTTTTCAAGATTTAGGTACATGTACAGTTACAGTGAATGTATGTGTTTTACTCTCTGGATCGCTTCCTTCACCCTGTCGGATGGTTCTTCATATAAATACGCAGGGTTATCAAACTCGGCTGCCAAACTTGGCTCGCCAAGAAATGCTCTGAATGAGTCCGCCACAGAATACGAAAGTGACTTGAGGTTGTATCCTCCTTCAAGGAAAAATACGCATCGACCACCGCATAAATCTTTGGCAAGCTGTTTGATGTTAGATGCAAGCATGTAGTAAGTTGATGTTGTGAGCTGTAGGTTGGCTAGTGGATCCAATACATGACCATCGTACCTGCACAGACATCAATCCGAACTCATGCTGAAGATATAATCTTCTTCAAAGTATAATAACAGAATAAGATTTTCGATTTACATTCAAATCCGATTCGATTTCCATTACACTCTTGATTCATTATCTAACCAGAGAGAGTAGAGTGTTGAAATTTAACATTCAGGGACAAGGAGGGATTACCCAGCAGAGACAAGGAATATATCTGGCTTGAACCTTTGAGCACAGGGCACGATGACTTCATCGAAAACAGTTCTCATTGCAGTATCACCTGAGCCTCCAGGTAGAGGTAGATTAAGTGTTGCTCCTTCACCAGCTCCTTTACCTATCTGATCGATTTTTCCGGTGCCAGGGTAGCTTCCTGCCTGTGTCAACATTATTGAAAGTCGTAACAACTGCTTGGCATTGTCTATACTTATAGCATTTGGAAATTTACAGAAGTTTTAAATGAAGAGTTAAAAAATGTTGACAATGTACCAGACAAGAAGTTATGTACCTGATGGGTTGAAAGAAAAAATATATCTGGATCTTCAAAGAAAGCATCATTTGTTCCATTACCATGGTGAACATCAAAATCAATAATAAAAACTCGCTTCAATCCATGTACACGCTGAGCATAACGAGCTGCAATAGCCACATTGCCAAAAACACAGAAACCCATGGGACCTTCTGGAATAGCATGATGTCCTGGAGGTCTTATCAAAGCAAAAGCAGTAGGTGGATCTAGTTGGTTCTTTGATGCTGCAACCTGAATATGATATAATATGTTTGGTTCTTTGATTCCGACCAATAGAAGTTAAAAAAAATCCATCTAGATTTTAGGAGTTGGTCCTAAGTGTATGTAAGTCGGATGAAGCTAAACAATGGCCTAGAGCCATCAATAGAAGCATATCATGTTAAGCAATCTGGAATTTCCTACAAACATCATATCTAACATCGGCTACGTTACAGTTGTGGCAAAATTAAGAGGACAAATAAAAAGAAAGAAAAGTTTCAAAACTCGTGTGCCAGAATGACAGTGTCAACAACTTGCAAGCTAATCTTAGGCCTCAAGAAACCTCATCAATCACCGCATGGTTTCATACAAAGCAGTCTGATCTATAGGCCAAAGCATTTTGCAGTCTGATCTTAGGCCTATACGATCAGTCCTGCTCTCTCTCTTTCTGCTTATTCAAGACAGATTCTACCCACTCTCTCCCTTAGTTTATTCCTTGAGCCCCCTTTTGAGGCAGAAATTCTACGCCCAAGAAGTTACTCTTGCATATATGGCTCACCTATTTGAGGAAGAAAGCCATATTACAAGATGCCTTTTGAGGCTCACCATTCATCTTGATGCACTTAAGCTACTTTTAGTTCTCAATCTTACAAATATGTTTGATCGCTTAAAAGCAGATACCGGAGAATAGAACTTAACCTTCTAGAAACGTAAAGATTGAAAGTCAAGAGGGGAAGGGCTAACAAGAAAATTAAAAGATATAACCACTTAAGCGACTAATGTTCTAAGTTGAGACATCACCACTGAATCAACTAAGGCAAGTCCTGCTCCAGCTGCAACTAGTGACTCATGGAATGTCTGCATCACAAAAGAGGAGGATGAAAGTCATATGAAGACACATATTTAAGACCCTGAAGCTATCTCAGCAACTGCATGTCTTCAGCCAATTACTTGTTCAATTTTTTATTAAGGATGCTAAGAAAACATCAGAATATTTTAAGAACTTTAGCACCAGTTCCTTTGAATTGGGAAAAATAGCAGATTTTGTAGTTTTAAAAAGGGAATATGAGCAAGATACTAATCAAATTATAAATAAATAAATCCATACAAAGTTATCATCAATAACCTTAATAATTACATAAATTTAGGGATATCTTATTTTTCTCTTTGCTTATTAATTGAAGATGCATTGTTTTATGGGATGTGTAGAATGTGAAATACAGCTAATATTTTTCTCTTGTAATGTTTGTAATGAATCTGTTGCGAATAATTGCAGAGTTTGCATACAGGAAATATGTCTTCTTTTTTAATAAAAGGAAATATGTCATGACTAATCTTGAATCTAAAAGTTTTAATCGTCAAAAGGAAAAACCATACTGAATGATGTATTCATATATTATTTTTGTTAGTATCCCTTTTAATGCGTGTACAATTCCACAAGCTAAGGAAGAAAAGCAAGAGCATCTAACACAATATACTTACTGTGGAAGTAGCATATGTTGGTCCAGAACCATCAATTACAATAAGACCCTGCTCAGAAGCCTGGTCCATAGCCTATAGCATAAAGCATGCAGCCAATGAAGTTTCAGTTCTCAAATAATATATGGAACAGAAAATGTAGCATGTGACTAGGAAGCCACCTTTTCAAGGCCAAATACATAGGCCTTCGCGTGAACACTGGCAACATCATCAACTGAAGCAAGATGGAAATTTTGAAGTTCAAGGACGTCCGAGCCACGAAACTGACATATACAAGAAAAAATGATACAAAAAGGAAATTTTCAAAATATTATCATTATATAACTGTATTAGAGCTTTCTACCATCAATCGAATTCAGTTCAATTTTCTTCAAACTACACATCTCTATTATTCATACTTTTTTTAATAAAAAAGGTGCTCCCTCTCTCTTCCATTCCATCCACAGTTCATTCAGGATTATTTTCTCTTTCTTTCAAAGAAGCTGAGATGTGAGCATCCCTTGCTTCAGCCATTGGGGAAATGAACTACATTTAATTCATAGGAATTTTACCTTCTATATCCAATTAAAATATGGGGAAAAAACCAAACAATCAAATAAACCATAGACTACCAATGGAATTTTTTTATTTTTTTTAAAGGATTACCAATGGAAATTAAACTTTGTTGATAGGGACAGTTCTAATCTCCTTGTAAATTCTTATTTTAAAGAATAAATTTTAATCAAACAACAAAAAGAAAATAGGTAAAAAAATGCCATCCTAGTCTCAAATGAAATGTCTTATAATAGACTTTGCTTTAAGGAAAACACAAAAAATGTTTTTCTTATTAGCAAACTATACTTTCCTTTCGAACCCAGTCTTTATTACGTATTGCCATGAACATTCAAACATGTAGAACGACATCATGCTTTTTCATGGGCACAGAAGTCAAAGACTGGCAGTCCTAGATGCAAGTTGCGGAGATTGAGATAATAGATAATTGTTCAAGCGTGAAACAGGCATCAACAAGGAACATGAACAACTCAAGACAGATGACACATAAATAACCAGGGACAGAAAATAATTCATTTCAGTACCTTTGAGGTAAGCTCCATCTGCTCAAGAGCTGTCACAATTGCTGGAACTCTAGCACTGGATTCCGGATGTGCCTCCTATACCAGTAAGAAAACCATAATAAAAGGAATACACAAACATTCGAAACTGTGTTTTATTTAATAGATTAGAAATATGGGAATCAAATTAATCATTATGTTGCACTTTCAATGAAAGAAAAGCAACACAATTAGAAACGGAAGCTTTTCATAACTGAGAAGAAGAGATTGACTGGAAAATATGAATTCCATATAAAACCAGTTTTCTAATATTCCGAGTTAATCAACATGAAAGATCATATGCTTTGAACAGGTACACAGATAAGAGTTCCCCTCCAATTTATAAATTTTAGCCCTGTCCCTAAAATGGATGCCTAAACGATGTTTCTATAAAATAAAAAATTGGGAAAATGAAAAACTTATATAAAATTGGAGATATGCATCAGAAGGACTCCAGTATAGTTACAACAACGCAAACCAAAACAGAATTTTGAAGATGAACTTGATTTATCTCTCTAATTATCAAAAAAGGCTGAAGTCCAAGCATGAAATACATAGAAACTCATGTCAACTAAACTAGGTTTTATCTACCAAAAGAGAACGAAGCCAAGATCAAGTTACCCCTAAATATAAAATACCTAGAGAACCAAAAATCACACTACAAACTCTTTACAAAAGAAATTTATAAGCACTAAACTTGTTCATAAGTATGAAGTCGATAACTACAATAACTATACCTTGTTATGACCCAGGGCAGGAGCCGCAGCATAAATCACTTTCGCATCACTCAGCTGTTTTAAGGATGGTAAAGCATCGTTCTTCTCGGTGCTATAAGAACAAGAAACCGAAGATTTGGTACTTTTTGAGACACATTTCCTCCTTGATACCGAATACCTATAGAATCTATGCCCCGAAAGCATAGTGCTCGCACTAAATCTACATTGATTCTTCCATTGCTGAACTCGGCTTCGAACCAAAAACACCATAGTTCCTACAACAATTGGAATTGAAGAAAGCTTAACTGTAACTTGTTTCAATGAAAAGGCCGTAATACTAGTGATACCCAAAGTTCCCAACTGACCATGTGTATACGAATCTATGGGTCTTGTGAGAAAATTAAAGCTAAGCAATGTTCCAAGTTAGTAGGAAGAAGAAAGAGAGATGTGGGTACCTGCAAAAGAGGGTGGGCGGAAGATTTGAAGCTCCATTAGATGACTGAGCGGTACAGCTTCAACTGTGATGCATATCTAGTATCTTCATGGCTGATATTTCAAATATCGATCGGATATTTTTGCGAAGAAAGGTGGGCGGAGATTGAAGGATATTTTTGGAGGGAAATTTGCATCCACAAGTATTTATGTTCAAAGAGAATGGATAAGAAATTAGAAAAGGAGGTTTGGTAAAACAAAATGTTTAGGCAAAATTAGGCTACACGTCAAACGGGTAAAAAAATTGGCTCATTTGGCCATCTCTAATATTATAAGATAAATTAGTAACTTTCACATAACAAATTTATTTAAATAATATTTCTTATTCAAATTCATCACGTCAAAGAGATAAATTTTAAATAAATATTTTTTTAGAATCTTATCTCACGGAGTGATAAGTTTTAATAAAAATATATTTTATTAAAATTCATTGTGTCTACGTGATGAGTTTCAAGTTACTATAACAATTGTCAAATTCTTAAAATAAAATCTATAGTGTCGTATTGGGCTAAATAATTATCTCACCTACAATATTAGGCTAATTTTGTCAAATGTTTATCCGTATTGAGTTTTAAATACATATACATCTTAATTAATTTAATATTCATATTTTATTTAAGGTGAATAAAATTTAATTTGGTTTAAAAAATATTTTCCTAAATTTTAATTATTTAAATTAATAACAAAATTAAAAATTAAAAAAAATAATTAAACTATTAAATTTTAAATCCTCAATTCTCCAACTTTAATTTTTTTTTGTTTGATTAATCCGGAATAATTATATAGTAGTATTTGTTTAAATGACCTTCAATTATATAACAATAAACAAACACTGACCGAACCGATATGTATCGAAGGATTTCAATTGTTTTTAAAATTTTTGTTGCCATATAAATTATATATATATATATAATATAAAAGAAAAAATTAACATCCTTTTTTGTCACCTCTTTAAAAAAGAAATTGACTCTATCTTTTAAAATATATTTAAAGAAAAAATAAAATTCAATTTTGTCACTTAAAACTATTCTTTATATAATTTCTAAATTTGAAACTCCAATTTTTTTTTTTAATAATACAATGAAAGTATCTTAATGTCATGACAACACAACAAAGGATATAAGCACTCAATCTTAGTACCAGAGATTTCTAGAGTCTCGGTACCAAAACGGAGAAAGAAAGATTGCAGTCTTGTTTAACTGCTAAACAGATTTTAGTACTACATATGATGGCTAAAAAGAACGTTTCTCTTTATTTTTGGTTTTTTTTTTTGTATGATTATCGATATACAATTAATTGATTGATTGATTCGGATCTGGTATTACAAAGATAAGGATAATCATTTCGATCCAGTTTATTCTATTTCACAATCGTTAGGATTCAAATTCCTAACATCAAATTACTTACTACTTGAACTAACTCGTTGATCTTTCTCACCATGTACTAAATTTTCTATATCGGGCTGTGTATCCATGAACTTGGGGATTGTCTCTAGAAAGACGGATTAATATACGGCTAATATACGACGTTACCGGATATATTAAAAGATATTTGATAAATTCGGTTTAGCATTACCGGAAATATCGAGTAATAATAATGTAATAGGTGAAAATCATGAAGAAATATTAAAAAAATTGGCAATCGACAAAATTAGTTTGTCGGTTTGTGTCGATACTTTATAAAAATATATTGATCCATAACAATATAACATGTAAAAAAATGACAAAATCGGTCTATAAATGACAAAACAGATAAAGCGCTACCGGATATATTGAAAGTATCGATACTTTATAAAAATATATTGATCTATGACAATATAACAGGTAAAAAAATGACAAAATCGGTGTATAAATGAAAAAACAGGTAAAGCGCTACCGGATATATTGAAAGTGTCGATACTTTATAAAAATGTATCGATCCATAACAATATAACAGGTAAAAAAAATGACAAAACCGATCTATAAATGACAAAACAGGTAAAACGCTACCGGATATATTGAAAGTATCGATACTTTATAAAAATATATCGATCCATAACAATATAACATGTAAAAAAAATGACAAAACCGGTCTCAAAATAAAAAAACCGGTAAAGAGCTACCGGATATGTTGAAAGTGTCGATACTTTATTATAAGTATCGACACTTTTGGAATTTAAAAGAAAAGAAGTTATAGCGCCAATAAAGTGTCGATACTTTATAAAAATGTATCGATCCATAACAATATAACATGTAAAAATATGACAAAATCGGTCTCGAAATGACAAAACCGGTAGTAAAAAAGTATGCTTGTGTGGTCATTTTTATTTCAGAATTTTTATTTTTTAATATAAAAAGTTAGATATTTTAAGCAAAACCCAGTAAGAAAAGAACAAAAACTTTGCAGTAACAAAATAATAATATTGGGAAACCCACCGTGTTATCAGTTTCTCAAAGAACAAAAACCTAGAAACATACATCTCTCAACGCAAACTTATGATATACTCTTATTATCTCGATAGGATAAAGTTAGGTCAGTTTTAGTTTTATTTTTTTGGTTAGAATTTTGTGTCATTTAAACTGTTGGTTGAAGAACTCAAACTGGTGCACGCATAAGTGTCGATCCAAAAAACATCGAAATCGATAATTATTATGTAACAGGTAAATTTACAATGTAACCGGTAAAAATATACTGGTTAATTAGCAAATAGGTTTACATTATGTATCGACACTCTTTAAATATGTGTCGATACTTTTTTCCCAAAATGAAAGCACAACGAGGTGCACGCATAAAATGTCGATACATTTAAAATTGTATCAATCCCAAAAACATCAAAACCGATAATTATAATGTAATAAGTAAATTTGCAATGTTACCGGTTTAAATATACTTGTTTAATTAGAAAATAGGTCAATATAAACGTTACCTATTATATTATATAAACGCTACCTAATATATTATTGTACTTGATAATATTTCCAATTAAATGATATAACATAACTTATTTAAATTTTAACTAACAAGTCACGCCGTTTTTTAGCCTTCTTTTAGAGGCCGCACATCGGAAGTACCCATGAACTTGCCTTGTTATTTTATTTGAACATCCAATCGGATGAAACTTAGAATCGGCAAACGACACTCCATTTAGGCTGTGACATTGCATGAAAACCGTTCTAGGTTAAATTACCTCTTTGGTCACCCAACTATCATTAAGTTTCTATTTTTATTATCCAATTCTTATTTTTCAAAATCATATTTAACGTTATGTTTTGGTTATGTTTTAAATTTTTTTATTATGCGCCGTTAAAATATTAACGACGATACTTATGTGACATTTTTAAATTATTTTTCAATGATAACATGTCATTTATCTTATGGTGACACATCAGTATTAATTTTTTTAATTGCAGTGATCAAAACATTATTTTAAGTGTAATTTTAAAAATAAATAATAGTTGATTGACCAAATAGTAGCTTACCCTATATTTTATATTGAACAATTCTTTTTAAATAATCAAATGTTGCACAAATCAAATGACCTCCATAGTACATGAATTGTTGCTCTTCCTTAAGGACTCATCTTCGAGCACTGAGAATCATAGGAGTGTAAGTGTTCAATGTCAAGAGGTTGAGAGTTATCTTTAAACATATATTGTCTTGTATCCAGATAAATCAAAAAGAAATAATCAAATGTGAAGCTTAGCCATATCTTCTTCTTCATCCTCTTCTTCACTTAAGGTGCTCTCATTTTGAGTAGAGGATTTCAATGCAACACATTTTTCTTTTTTTCTTCTTCTTGTTCTTGTTCTTACTCGTTTACCATCAACTCATGAGTGAGATGGGAGTCAATGAATTCATCAAGAGTGAGAGACTTTAGGTTCTTCACTTTGATTATCATCGCCTTCTTTGATTGTCAAGACTTTGGAAGAGAGTAAATCATCTTCTTAACAAGCTTCGCTTTAAGGATGATTTTCCATACCCTTCGAGATCATTAACAAACACTAAAAATCTATCTACCATAGCTTTGATATCTTCATATGTTTTCATCTTGAAAATTTCATAGTTATGGTTGAAAAGAGCGATTTTTGTTTCCCTCACTTCACCGGTTCCTTCATGAGTGACTTGGAGCTTGTCCCAAATCTCTTTGGCATTTGAACAATATGAGACTCTTCCATATTCATTTGGTTCTAATGCACAAAATAGAATTTGCATAACCTTGGTATTTTGTTGGAACTTCTTTTCTTCTTCGCTCCAATCTTCCATCTCATTGGTTGGAGTAGAGTGACCCTTCATGATAGAGTTCCATGCTCTTAGATCATTTGTTTGAATAAAGAGTATCATCTTATTATTTCAATAGGCATAATTTGCTTAATTGAAATAAGGTGGTTTATTGACCGATACAAGTCATCTTCTCGGTTGAGTCAGAAAATGATAGAGTGCTTATATAATCTTCACAAGGTTGTTAGATCGTCGATTGTGACCCACTCTGATATCAATTGTTGGACTCGATTAATCAATCGAAATCCACCAAGATGGAGGTCAATTGACCTTTAAAAATCTTTGTGGAAACAATCAAAGATAGAAAAATTAACACAACGATTTATAGTGGTTCGACTTCTCAACCAAGTCTGCATCCACTACCTTAGCTTCACACTAAGGATTTTACAATAAATTCATTAATTTGTTCTTTCCTTTCAAGGATAAGGTGTAACCTTTACAACTCTCTAGTCTTTCCGAAGGCAAAACTAGAACCTCTCCTCTCTTACAAGGTTTGATTTGGGTAAACAAGAATACCTCTCTAAGTAAGTGTTTACAAGAATTAAGCTCACAAAGAATGAATTAAGAAGATATGGAATAAGCTCAATGCACTTATGTACAAGAGAAAATCAATAAAATACGAATGAAAACTGTTTTTCTTGATCTCCAAGCTTGGATAGGTATAGTAACATTCTTCAAGTGTCTCTTTGTTGTTTTTATCAGTTGGAATGTGTTTCTAACCGTTTATGACCAATGGAGAAGAATTATATCCGTTGGAAGATTTAAAAATATGCAATAAAGGTCACTTGTATATGAATTTTTATAAACTATAGGGAAATTTTCGAAACTCTATGAAAGGGGAATAAAATTTTTGACCGTTGGAACCCAAAGTTTCAAAACCCTTGTAAAATTTCAAAAATCCAATGTCTACTGCATATGGGTTCGAGCATCAGCTACTGTAGCAAGATGATTGAGCGTTCATTGACAAAAGGTTGAGAGTATTTAAAACATATACTACTTTATAATCACCTTAGTTTAATAAAAAAAACAATCACCATACTACAGATACTGTGATTAAACCCATGACATTTAATAACAAAAATGATATATTTAATTAATAAGATAAAAGTGGTTAAAGCTTTTATATATATATATATATATATATATATATATGAGAAAGAGAGCAGTTCACGAGCGAAATTCTGTTGAAGAAAGCAGGCGTTGATAGTTGATAGTTGATAGTTGATAGTTGATAGTTGATAGTTGATTGGTGGATAAAGTGGGTCCATATCCTTCACGGGTGCTGCAAACCAAAATTATTTCTATTTAACAAATTAAAAAATGTGGTAGAAAACAAATTAACTGTGGGTCCCCTTTAAAACTCACCCAAAAACTACAAGGGCAAAAAAATATACATTTTCAGTTGCTCTCAACCACGAAAAAACCAATCACGCTTTCCATCAATATTTTTCTCCCAAAACCCACATTTTATTTCAATTATAAATAAATGGTTGAGTTTAATTAGAGGGTCAAGTTAGATGGTTTGTTTTGGATTTAGTAAATCAGATCAAATATTAGAAGGGAAAAATATTTAGTTTCAAAATAATAAATTCTTATTGTGTATTTAATTTAAAAAATTTCAAAAATTATAAGTTTAATTTTATTTAAATTAAATTGATAAGAACATAAAATGTTATTAAATCAAAAAATTTAAAAGGGATAAGGGCCCTTTCACACCTTATGTAGCTCTGTCCCATAGAGTCGGCACCTCCGTCTTCGTCTTCGTCCTCGTCCGATGATTGTCGTATTATCGTACGGCAAAAAACTGCAACATCTATGGCCGACGTCCATGTTTCCATGGTGAAACCTCCTACATGCATCAAGCTTTACACCGTAGCTCGTGAAGTTCACGAATTTCCATGCCACAACAAATGGGTCACGTGAACCGCCTTATCAATTTATCATCGGATTTATTTATTTTTATAATTATCGACATCCAATTTATTAATTATTAATTTAAATTAAATATTATAGAGATAATTACGATCATCTCAACTCAGTTTATAATATTCGGAATCGTCGGGATTCAAACTCTTAATCTTACTTAAAAGATCTAGTACATCTTCATTCTAAACCAGCTAGTTGTTGGTATATATTAAGATTTACTTATGTAATATATATATATATATTAAAATTATGCAAATTTAAGGTTGTTAGATAATTAATATGGGATAAATATAATTGTACAAGGTAATATATGTTCAAAGATAAATATCATTCATTTAACATTGAATGTTCACACAACTCGCGTATTTTTGGTGCTCGAACCTGAGACCTCAAATAATAACAACAGTTCTTAAATATTAGATGAATGGGAAAAAAAGATTGTTAGATTAAAGAAATTAGATAGTTCAGATTAACTATTTAATTTTTCCAGAGAATATGTTATCATTTTCTACTATATATTAATAATTATTCTGTTTTCACTCATTTAATAGTCATAAATCTTTGTAGAGCTAAAATATTTTACACTATGTATAAACAAATGAGATTACACAATATAAATCTTTTTAGTTTTACACATAGTTAAGATTATTGGATGAGTAAAAATAGACACTTGAGCTTAACAATAGAAAATTAGAAGATCTTCACTGAAGAAAAAAATATCTCAAGCTGTCTATTTCCACTGATCCAACAATACTACGCCTATAAAAATTAGAAAAAAAGTGCATCATTTAATGAATCTAACTCTTTTAATTATAATTTTAAATCGATCATTAAAATTTTGAAATATATATAAAATAAATATGCTTGGGTAATACATACTTATCATGTAAAAGTATTAAATTTATGGGTAAACTACACATTTAGTATCTAAACTATCAATTTTAATCCGTTTTTAGTATCTAAACTTTCAATTTTTTCAAAACTCATAACTAATGTTTATTTTTTATTTCATTTTAGTATCACACTGTTAAAATCTTAACGCGTTTAGTACCTAAACTATCAATTTTGATCCATTTAAGTACCAAAACTTTTACTATTTTTCAAAAATTTAACGTTAAATTTTGAACATTGATACTAAAATGAAACAAAAAAAAATAAATTTTAGGTATATTTTTGAAAATAAAATAAAATTTAAGTAATAAAATAAACAAAAACTGATAATTAAGGTACTAAATAGAATTTATCCTAAATTTATTGTGATGAGAGTGGATGAGATTGGAGTATACATCTCAAATATTTTTTTTGTTGTTGACCAATGACGCTGTTAAATCTTATTGATGAGAATATTTAATGACGTCATTGGCCAAATGATCATATTAAATTCTTTTTTCGAGTTATAAGCCACAATGATAAAAAACGATAAGAGCTGCATTAATTTTTTTGTGATAATTCAGGGGTCTCTAATGCATTTTTTGTCATTCTAGTCTCATTGCTGTCAATCAGATCGAGCCAAACACTTTGATTAAAAAACTGAATATTTTAGGACTTGTTTTCAGTACGAGATGAGGTAGACAAAGCTGTGGTAGTAAACTAGAAAGAGCAGAGAAAAAGAAAGAGATAAAAAAAAGAAGCAGAGAGCTTTCTTCAATGAAGAAACAAGGCTGTGAGATTGAAGCAGTAGGCATCGACTACAAGATCCATACTCAAAAGAGAGACAACCCTTTCAAGATCTTAAACAAAAACCAGCAAGAAGTAGTTGATCAAAAGCAACAACGGCCAGGAATCCGGCATGTCCTACAGGATGTAAACTGCAAGGCGAAACCATGGGAAATCCTCGCCATTGTTGGTCCAAGTGGAGCTGGAAAATCTTCATTACTAGAGATCCTAGCTGGGAAACTCACCCAACAAAGTGGTTCCATTTTCGTCAACAAAACCGCCATTGATAAAGCTCAGTTCAGGAGAATCTCCGGCTATGTCACCCAGAACGACACTCTTTTCCCCCTCCTTACAATCGAAGAAACCCTCATGTTCAGCGCTAAGTTACGTTTAAGGCTCCCTCGAAGTCAGCTGAGCGTTAGGGTCAAGTCCTTGATACAAGAACTTGGTTTAGACCACATCGCCATGGCTCGGGTCGGCGATGATCGGGTTCGTGGGATATCCGGTGGAGAAAGACGCCGGGTTTCTATAGGTGTGGATGTGATTCACGACCCCAAAGTGTTGATTCTCGATGAGCCGACTTCGGGTCTCGACAGCACGTCTGCGCTACAGATCATCGATATGCTCAAGGTCATGGCTGAAACCAGGGGAAGAACGATCATTCTAAGCATTCACCAGCCTGGTTTTCGCATCGTGAAGTTGTTTAACTCTATGCTTTTACTGGCTAACGGCTCGGTTTTGCATCAGGGAACGGTGGACCAGCTGGGTGCATATTTGAGGGACATGGGGTTGCAGCTTCCTCTTCATGTGAACATCGTCGAATTCGCCATCGAGTCGATCGAAGCTATTCAGCAGCAGCGAAAGGGTGGACGGGTACAAGTTCAAGAACAAGGCTTGCCAGTAGCCCCATCGTCTCGGACCGGTAAGTTTACGCTTCAGCAGCTTTTTCAACAATCCAAGGTCGCCGATGAAGAAACTATGAACGTTGGGATTGATTTCCCAAGAGATTTCGCCAATTCGAGGTTGAAGGAGACCATGATTCTCACGCACAGATTCTCCAAGAACATATTCAGAACCAAGGAGCTGTTTGCATGCAGGACGATCCAAATGCTGGTCTCAGGGCTGGTCTTGGGCTCCATCTTCCGCAATACCAAAGACGATCTAGCGGGAGCAGAAGAAAGGGTGGGTCTGTTCGCATTTATATTAACGCTCTTACTGTCATGCACGACGGAAGCACTGCCGATATTTTTACAAGAAAGAGAGATTCTAACGAAGGAAACCTCATGCGGGAGCTACAGAGTTTCATCCTACGCGCTTGCCAACGGACTCGTATACCTACCCTTTCTACTCATTCTAGCCATTCTGTTCTCGACTCCACTGTATTGGTTAGTCGGACTCAACCCGAGTTTCACCGCCTTCGTCCACTTCCTGCTGTTGATTTGGTTGATCCTGTACACCGCAAACTCAGTGGTGGTGTGTTTTAGCGCACTGGTCCCTAATTACATAATCGGGAACTCGGTGATATCAGGCGTGATGGGCTCATTCTTTCTCTTCTCCGGATACTTCATATCGTCCCATGAGATCCCAAACTACTGGATCTTCATGCATTACATATCCTTGTTCAAGTATCCGTTCGAAGGGTTTTTGATAAACGAGTTCTCCAAATCGGGCAAGTGCTTGGAGTACATGTTCGGGAGCTGCTTGGTGACGGCGGAGGCGGTGCTCAGGGAAGAAGGGTACGGGGAAGAAAGCCGGTGGAGGAATGTGGTGGCGATGGTGGGGTTCATCTTGGTTTACAGGTTCGTTTCTTATGTCATTCTTAGGTGTCGATGCTCGACCAGGAATCTTAGGGCATCGTATTCTTGAACAGATTCTGTCTTCTTTTTCTTCTTCTTCTTCTTCTTCTTCTTTTTCTCTCTCTCTCACGTGTATGGCAACCGGATGGTTCACATGATTTTGGAATTACATAAGATAGGAAAAGCCAAAGGGACAATAAGAAAATGTTTGTATCAAGGATTCAAATAGTGGTTGCGGCAACGTTTATGGTCGCTTAACGTTGCAATCATAGACATAACCGACATTATTACATAGATTACGGGTATCGCAGTCATATAACAACAATTGCAGAAGGCACTGCTATTGTTATACCGTAGGCATTATCGTGATGACGAACCACTATTTAAATCCTTAATTTGTATTGTAACACATTATTATAAGGAAATAAATGTCATAATAGTCTACCTACCAATTGTTCTTCTCTTGTTTACAAGATTCTTCATGTTTTCTTTCTCAAGCCACAAATGTAGAGTTAATTGCATCATATGCACCTGAATCATGACTCTCATTTTAAATTAGTCTTTAAACTTTTAAATATTTTAATTTCATCCTTAAAATATGGATCTAATTTTGAATATTTTGAATTTCATTCTAAATTGGTCCTTAAACTTTTAGATCATTCAATTTCATCCCCAAATTCATTCAAATATGCAATCTGTTTCAACCATAGTTTAATCTAAAAAAAATTCAAGCATATAATAATATAATATGCCTAATGATTTTATTAACAAGAGATGTGATTAGTATATATGAATAATTTAGGATAAAATTGAAATATTCAAAAAGTTTGGGGACCAATTTAGGATGAACATCATAGCTTGGGGAAAAATAAAATGTTCAAAAGTTTGAGGACTAATTTAGAATAATAGTCATAGTTTAAGTATGAACTTAAAATATTTAAAAGTTTAGGGACTATTTTGAAATGAGGGTCATAGATTGGGGACTAATTTTTATATAAAATGGACAAAAATAAAATTTTAGAATGAGTATAATTAATAAAATAAAATGGATGAAGATTGATGTTGTCATGGTGCTCGGTTAGTGTTGTTAGCAGATTTGGTGATCTTGGTTTCTGTTGTTGTTCGGTTCCTTCCTATTGTTGTTGTGTTTGTTGTAGATCAGTTTTATGATTGTCCATCTCGTTTTATATTCGTTCTGTTGTAGGATTTGTATTGGTGTTAGTTTGAGTTGGGTTGTGGCTTGGGGTATGCCTTGTGTGTTGTTATTGTTATTTATGTATTCGATCCCTTCAACCTCTTGGTTCACTTTTTTTCCTCCATTCAGGGATAGGGAGGTTTTTTAATGAGGTCATCGAGGTGGTGTACTTTGAAATTATTCGTAATACAAAATACCCTTTTTTAAATAAAAAAATATCACTGCCTTGAATCCAATGATTTTACACTCTTAACCGACCTCATATTTCCCCCAACTCTACGATTACCTCGTTTTTTAAACAACCTTGGTGATTGTTAGTAGTTTATAATGTTGGTAGGCGCCTAAAAAAGTTAAGTAAATTATACTATATGAATAATTGTGTTGTAAAGACATAATTAATTTGTTGAAAATACAAACTTTGTATGTAAATTTTTTTTAATGGAAAGTTGCTAGTTTTTTTTTTAAAAAAGAAATATTTAGAATTACGATAAAAATTTATAAACATAATCGTAAGCTAAAATATAATTAAGACCAAAACTAATCACCCGATCACACAAAGACCAAAAAAATGGGCAATTGGTGTATCCAAAGACCCCTCAGATTATACAGATTGGCAATTAATAAAAGACCCACGGTGGCAAAGTTAGTTTCTTGTGAAGGGTGGGAAGGGGTGAATGTCTGCTATGTTGATGAAAAGGGGTGTTGCATCCATTGCATCGGATCTATGCCCGCTATGCCACCTTTTCCCTGATTCTGTTAATCACCTATTTTTCGCGTGTGGTATATCCAGGAAGATATGGTCCCATTTTCGTGCGTATTGGAATCTTTCTTCAGTACTTCATCATGAACCGGTCTCTTTCCTTGTTGCCTGGGACGGTGATCGACCTACGAGTAAAGACTCCTACATCTGGAAGGCGCTCCCGTTTGCAATATCTTGGTCCATTTGGCTGCTTCGAAATGAAATTATTTTAGAGGGAAGACGTTAGACCGCTGTCAGTTGATTTTTACCATCAAATATCGAATCGCCTGTTGGTGCTTGGCTAATTTTCCAGATGCTGGTGTGTCTATGAACAATTTCATCGCTGATTTGGTTAGAGCAGACAGGATCATCTCTGGCTTCACCCCTCCCCCTCAGGCTGGCTGAAAATGAACGTAGATGGAGCATACTTGGATAAGACTTGAATAATGTAACCTGCCGGCTCGTCTAATTAGTGTTCTTGCTGGTTTGGTAAAGTTTGTTGGGTTGCTGCCCGAGGGTGCTGTATTTCATTCCTTGCAGTGTGCGTATGCTTTCGGTTTGGGGTCATTTATCTCGAGTTCTGCCGGTGATCCCATAATTTTATTCATGGTTTTCATACGGCTTGTTCCTCCCGTTTTTGTGCCAAGCTGGTGATTTGCTCTGCTCTAGTGGCTCGACTGGGATATCAACGAGATTGTGGAGCCAGCTTGACGTCCTCGGTGTCTCTGATTGATTGTGACCACAGATTTTGTGGGTATGCTAGCTTTAGATATTTAGGTGCTGTCTTCTCTCTTGCTCAGAATGATTGGGCTAATGTATGTTGCGAGTTTTGTTGGTCCTCTTTTGTTTATGTAACAGACACAATGTTTTGGTTGTGATATAATAAATTTTGGGCCATCTTCTTTTTCAAAAATAATAATAATAATAATAAGATCATTTGATCCTTAACTAAAGTCAACATGACCAAATAGAACAACATCTTTTGTTGTCATGTATTGAAATTCAATCCATAAAATTTCACAAGATTCTCATTGTAACTCATGACCATTGATATGGTTGAATTTTAATTCGAATCATGAGTAGAACCAATACTTCTTATTACGTGTTTGGTGAATTGATAGGATTACCCATTGTTTCTGTCGTAACCGGTTTTCGTCCGGGCACGAATATATTTAAATTTGGCGGGAAAATTGATGTGAATAAATGGTTTTGAAAATAATTTGGGAGTCGCCATCGGCCTTTTGGGTCAGGTAGGTCGAATACCTAAAAAAAAATATTTTTTAAAAGAGTTTTTTTTTAAAAAAACATCAATTAAAAAATTAAACTGATCTGCGTTTATAACCAAAAATTCGTTCTTTTTAATAATAACAAGGGATTCGTGGTCGGTTACGTTTAGGGAAGGATTAGCACCCCTACAACGCCCAAAATTGGTACTTTTTAATTATAAATTGTCTATATCATTAAAATTTTAAAAATTCAAAAATATATTTAATTTATAATTCTATTATTTTCAAAATTATATTTATTTAAAAATATCCGAAAAGAACTTCTAGGTGCCTTCAGACAGCTCTTTTCTTTGATATTGATAAATATTAATTTAAATAATATTGTTTATTTTTTAATTTTTTAAAATATCAGAATAGGACATCCAGTTGTATTAAGACTGTCCTTTTCTTTGATAAAAAATAAATATTTAAAAATTATTATTTATTATATTTATGAATATATAAAAATATTTAACCATATAAAATAAAAAATATTACTAAAACAATGTATTTTAAGCAGTAAAATTAAAACATATAAAATAAATAACTAAATTATAATAAAAATAAAATTAAATCTAATTCCTAATTAATTAAATATTTTATTTTTTAATTTAATAATTTAGTGACCAAAACAAAATTATCTAAAATTCAAATTTTATAATAAAATTAATTAAAAATATGAACTAGGGATAAAAATTTTATTTATTAAAATTAAGGGATTAAATCTATCATTTATCCTAAATATATTATTTTAATAAAAGGGACTAAAATGAATAAAATTAAAATTCGAAGACTAAATTAAAATTATTACAAATTCAGTTTAGTGACCAAAATGTAAAATTTACAAATACGAAGGACTGCGGCCGGGGTTTAACTATTTCGTAATTACGCGAATAGCCCTTCCCAAAACGGCGTCGTTCGGGAAGGGCTATTTAAGCCTAAAATCAGCTGGCCCGAAGGGCCAGCCTCATTTCTCCTCTCTTTCCTCTCTCTCTCTTTTCTGAGAGAAAGAAATTCTCTCGCTTCTCTCTAGAAAAGAGAGAAGCTCTCCGGCCGACCGCCGTTAGCCACCGTCAATACCACCGCCGGCCGCCATATCCGGTGGCCGGAAATTACAAATCCCACCCCAAATTAAAGCCTGGTTTTCCCTAAAGCTAGATCCGTAGGTTTTTTAGCCTAAAATACTACTGAAATGCGTAGATCTAAAGTTTATACCTTCGACCTTTGACTTTCCGATGGCTCCAAAAAGGTTCTGATGACCAACGGTTCCCTCGGTAAGTTTTTTTCTTCCTTTTTCCTTTTGTTTTTGCTCTGTTGTTGTAGACTGGGATCGTTGGTAGTTGTTATTTTCTCTGTTTTTTTTTTCTCTGTTTCTGTCCCCCCCTTTTTTTTTGCAGATGGGTGGTGGCTTTTATAGCCACCACCGGTGTAGCCGTCGGACCGGTCCGAAGAAGGGCTCTCGGTGAGTCACCGGACTACCAGTGGTGACTCACCGAGTAGCCATGGCGTGGACGGCTGCCATTTTATCTTCTGGAGTCTTCGGTTGGGACGTGGCAGCGGCGTGGCGGCGAGAAGACTGTCGGTAGCCGCGTGGAAGCTGGGGCGGCGCCGCGTGGCCCTAGGGTATCAAACCCTAGGGTTTCTCTCTGGAACCATGTGGACCGTTGGATCGTGCCAGATCCAACGGTTGTGATGAGGCGGCTGAGGATGATTAGGGTTAGGAAACCCTAACTGAAAACCCAAATATTTAGGGTTTCTGGTTGGATTTGGACCGGCTCTGGTTGGTTTGTAACTGGGCCGGTCCAGTTGTAATTGGGCCTGTAATTATTATTATGTATTTAATATATTTAATATAAATTAATAATAATAATAATAATAATAATAATAATAATAATAATGATAATAATATTAATAATAATAAGGATAATAATAATAATAATAATAATATGGATAAAAAAATTTTAGTATCTTCAGCTGCCCCTCTTTGCTCATTCTTGTGTTAACAAGAATAGGGCAAAGATGAAAAGATAATAAATTTTTTTTATCCATTTGACTTTACTTTGATCATTATGGAGATATTGAATAAATTCTTCTTTTT